GCTGGTTGTTAATTTACAGTGGGATGCCCTTGGTAACTTGGTAGTTCCCCCAAATATGGGAAAGAATGCCTTCCCCTCCCCTTACTATACATGGTCTTATACCCATCTCATAGTCGAAAAACACAGTCCATAAGATGAAGATACAGTACTTTACAGGGCAAGTTTACCGGCTGACCGAGCGCAAACTTTTTCTTTAAATTTATATATACTTTTTCATTGCCCTGGAAATACCTGTTATTTGTTAAAACTTAGAAAATATAAAGAATCTAGAAAAAAAGAAAAGAAAAATCACTCATGACCCTGTTATTTATATAAAATACATTAACCCTGTGGTGCATATCCTTCAAGTATCCTTTTTATGCATATGTATTATCAAATTATATTTATATAAATCTTACTCAAGTGCAATTAGAATACATACTCTCCCTTTTTACTCACAAAAGTTACAAAAAAATTTTAAACAGAGATATAAAAAAAATATATTAAATCACCCCAAACTACTACTACTAAAATTTTACTATGTATTTTATTTTTCCTATGCATGAGTTATACCATGAGTACTAACTGACACCAGCGCTTTTATTCCAGTTAATATGTCCTATCAATAAATAATATATTGATGTGCAAAATATTTTTACATCTCCATAGGACTCCATTGTATGGAGATATAATTTATTCATTCAATTCTTTATTGTTGAACATTTAGGTTGGTCTTAACTTTTAATATTATATTTAACATGTTTTGTTGATACATGTTTTTGTTCTATGTCCGAACTGAGCTCCCCATCTTTCCTAACCCCTTCACTCACAGACTTTCTTTCCCACCTCAGTTCGAGTTGATCAGACTGGAAGCCTTGGGGTCATCCTTGATTCTCCTCTTTCCCCCAACCCTCCCTCCAATCAAACCCTGTTGGCTCTACCTTCAAAACACACCCACTCTCACCACTCCCCTGCTACCTTTGTCTGAGCCACCTTTGCTTTTGTCTTTCACCTGGATTATCCCAACAGCCTCCTGTTTTCCCACCGTTGCCTCTTCTAAAGCCAGAGTGATTTTATAGAAACATACATCCAGATCAGGTCATCCTCTGGTCAAAATTCTCCAGAAGGTCTCCATTTCTCTCAAAGGAGGAGTCAAATTGCCTGACCAGCCTGCAGGCTCCTGTTCTGCTCTCCCCCTACTTCCTGGGCCTCATGCCCACCACTCTCCCCTTTGACCCCCTCCAGCCTCCCCGACCTCCTTGCTCTTCCGTGAACATGCCAGGCATATCCACCTCACAGCCCCTGTGCTGCCTGTTCCCTCTTCCTGGAATGCTCTTCCCCCAGATACCCTCCTCATTGCCCATCCCCATCTCCTTTAATTCCTTGCTCAAATATTACTTTCTTAATAGGGCCTCACTTAACCATGCTATTTAATTTGTACTCCCCCCACCCAGGAGGTACACTCCCAAATCCTCTCTACCCTTCTTCCTTTATGCACACTTATGTATAATTTTAACAGCACTTACCATCTTCTAACATACTCTGTAATTTAGGTTTATTTTCATTGTCTGTCATTAGCTGTCTCTCTCCATTAGAATGTGAGCTCCACACAAGGATTTTCATCTGACTGTTATTTTCTGAAATATCCCCAGTGCCTAGAACAGTGCTTGACATGGAGCAGTGCCTGATAAATAATTGTCACAAATGCAAAGGAGGATAAAGTTTCAAGAAGAGGATAGTTGACAATATCAAATGCTGTTCATTCAGAGTTCAACAAGAATGAAACGGAATGGATTTCTTTTGATTTGGTGAGTTGAATGCCTTGAGAGACAGCAGAGCCTAATACTGAGGGCCAGTCAGTGCATGAGTTCAAGTCCTGGCTCAGCCTCTTTTCAGCCACGTGACCTCAGTTTCCTCATCTGTAAAATGAGATTAACAATACTACCTACCTGTGTTACATGCACTAAACGAGTAAATTTATAGAAGTGCTTAAAACGGTGAAATATGGTAAATGCTATAATTATTGATATATATAATTACCATTAGTGAAAATAATAGGTAAGATTTCAGGGGGGAAAAAAGGTTCCGAGTAAATGGAAACTGACCATTCTTATTTCTCTTTCAAATGCTTTTTCATTTGTGTGTGTTTATTGGGTGGGGGTGGGGTGGAGTAAGGGTGTCATTCCCTTTGACCAGACAGAAGATCAGTGATAAGTCAGCAGAAAAATCAGGACCTTCAGTTTTCAAGATACCATTGCCAGCACTGTCTAGCCACTATAATCTCCATTTCAGTTTTGTAAGATGTCATTGTTTTAAAAATAAGAAACAAGGGAAACATAAGAGCTACTCTAATCTGTTAGGCTAATTAATTTAATTTTAGCAAAAAGTAAGCACCAACTATTTTGCAAGAATTCTCCATAGATGACTTCCAACATGAATCTTAAGGAGTTATTTTTTACCAAAGAGTGAAATGGAATTAATTATTTAACTCATAATTTATAGAGAGCTGTGGTTCAAAGAGGCATGAGGCCTTAGAAGGCACTATAGTTATATGCCCTGATCAGAAAACATCTTCAATAATAAAGATCTAGAAGATCTTTAAGATTCTGTAAGAATCTGCTTTGTCTGATATATAATATTAGCATGATCTTTGTTCTCTGGGGAATTTTTTGTTTCACAATATATTCTGCAGGATTTTTTTTAGGCTCTTTTGTCCCATGGCAATATATCTCTTTTCTAGTAAAATCTCTGTGAATTAGTCTCACCATCCAGCTGCAGCAGGTGGTGTCCTTCCTTCATAATAAAGAAACGACTATCATTCAAAGAAAATAAACAAGTACATCAAAATTGCATGTCTTTAGAGTAAGACTAGGCAGCCTCCTATTTTCTGAATGGATCCACTGGGTTGCCAAACTAGTCCCAGAGACATCACCCTGGCAAGGTTATATTTTGAAGCTTAGAAGGCTGGTTTTCAGGTTTTGGACCACAAATTTCTCTTTGCTTCCCTTTTTCACAGCCCAGACCCTTTCCAAGGTACCTTGTCATTTAAAGAAAGATGGAGGTATAATATGTTAGGAAAGCTCAAAGAAAAACCACAGAAAAATGGTTAAAGCCAGGAAAATTTGACCTGTAAAGGCTGAGAGAGTTGGGATTATTCCCAACAATATGTAGGGTAACTTCAACAAAACCCGCTAAGGGTGTTGTATTTCTGGAATTCTGAATATGCCTTGTGATTGTCCAGTACTATGTTTGAAAATTACATTTGCCTTGGACCTAACAGAAACAGGGTATATTTTTTTAAGGCTTCATATTGATAATTGTACCCAATATAACTGACATATCAATTATGCATCATAACATTGAAGGAGAAAATAGGAAGTTAAAGACAGAACAGCACACTTTGAAACAATAAATTAGTGGCAAGAAACATCAAACAGAAAAACTTTTCAAGACTATCCTAATTAATCACCAGAAATGACTGAAGTTTTACTTCCCTTTGGCCTAGTTTCAAGTATTGTTTAAGGAGAATTATCAGTGCTGTTCAAAGCCACTTGATAACTTCTGATACAATGGACCATGAAACCCTGAGGAACCTCATTCTCGATTGTAACTTGGCATGCAAAGAGCCAATACAGGAAAAATGCCATTGAGAGTGTGATGTGTAGTTTTAGAATCATCTCATGGCTGCATCCATTTCTGTAAATGGAAATTATTTACTCGGGAAGCACTCACCATATCATTTATATTTAGTTAAATGATGTGTATAATTTAATAGGCACCAAAGAGGGCTCAGTCTTATATTACTATGCATCCAACTCTATTTTCAATATAGGAAGGAAACAGAGCCACAAAATATGAAAATTCACATTAATGTGTGAAAATAATTCAGTTAAGGTTCTGAAAGATGAAATACTTATTATTCATCTTTAGTTTCTACAACAAAGTTACTGAGATCAGAAAAACAATGGAATGCCAGTTTTGCTTTTTTTTTTTTTTTGCGGTATGCGGGCCTCTCACTGTTGTGGCCCCTCCCGTTGCGGAGCACAGGCTCCGGACACGCAGGCTCAGCGGCCATGGCTCATGGGCCCAGCCTCTCTGCAGCATGTGGGATCTTCCCAGACCGGGGCACGAACCTGTGTCCCCTGCATCAGCAGGCGTACTCTCAACCACTGCGCCACCAGGGAAGCCCACTTGTTATCTTATAATAATCGCAACTTCCATGATGAAAAAATAAACAGCCTGCATATCAAACAAAAAAATTGGGTCCTTCTGAGGTTAAATTTGATATTCCTGGAGCTCTGTTGTTTTCCAATAGTTTATTCCTGTCACCCAACAGCTATGAAAGAAAAGTATGTTTCCTGTGTTAATGGCATGAAACCAAAATTCAGGATGCAAATTAAGAGCCAAACCAAATTGGCCTGTCATTTTGGGCATCAGCTGATTAAAGAGGAATGGTAATCTTTTACACTCGTTTTCATAAG